TTCTGCCATAGAGGACCCATTGCTGAAGACAGGAAAATAATCACAGTTATTGACAAGGACTGTTTTGTTGTTAAAGAAAAAATAATTACAACATAAATATGAAAAAAGTATAAAAACTCAGTAAAGAGGGACTAAGTCAGTTGCATTTGCAGACTTTTTTATATGCTTCTTGTGGAGAGCTTTTATTAAATTACATCTTCAGACTGAGTGTTGCTGAATCAGTGATCATAGAATGGTTTGGGTTGGAAGGGACATTAAAGATCACTTAGTTCCAACTCCCTGCCATGGGCAGGGACACCTTCCACCAGACCAGGCTGCTCAAAGCCCCGTCCAACCTGGCCTTGAACACTGCCAGGGAGGGAGCAGCCACAGCTTCTCTGGGCAACCTGTGCCAGTGTCTCACCACCCTCATGGTAAAGAATTTCTTCCTTATACCTAATCTAAATCTACACTCTTTCCATTTAAAGCCATTACCCCTTGTCCTGTCACTACACTCCCTGATAAAGAGTCCCTCCCCATCTTTCCTGTAGCCCCCTTTAAGTACTGGAAGGCCACTATAAGGTCTCCCCAGAGCCTTCTCTTCTCCAGGCTGAACAACCCCAACTCTCTCAGCCCGTCCTCATAAGGGAGGTGTTGCAGCCCCCTGGTCATCTTTGTGGCCTCCTCTGGACCCATTCGAGCAGGTTCATGTCCTTCTTATGTTGGAGGCCCCACAGCTGGACACAGCAGAAATAGAGGGGGAGAATCGTCTCCCTTGACTTGGTAGGACGGGCCCACCTCTCAAGCCTGTCAAGGCCCCTCTGAATGGCATCCCTTCCCTCCAGGGTGTAGGCCGCATAGACAACTTGGTGTCCTTGGCAAAGTTGCTGAGAGTGCAGTGATGCTTATTAAATTATTTCAGATTGAAGCATTTTCCTCAAAATAATTATGAATCTTCTTTTAGCATATCATAGACATCCAAAATAGATGGGCAAAGTAATGAATTTCTGAGTTAATTAATCCCACCTGGTATATCGTAGTAGCCTAAACAATGCAGAAAGGTGAGTAATTCTAAGTGTTAGAAAAGCAAATAAGGTATTTCCATCCTGTTTCTTGCATAATCTGTTAATTCCACCAGATTTAACATGTCTGTGACAGTGGCCAGTGACAGACCTTTAGATTGAATACAGGAGAAGAGTGAAGATAAGATAATGCCTTCACTGTTCTCCACTCAGCCCTTTTTCTTTTACTGATATTTACTTTTGGTATCTCTGGAGTCCTGTGGTGATATGTTCCATAATTACCTGGTTTGTGTGAAAGTATTTACTTTTATATTTAAAAAGGAAATCTGTAGACCCTCTGGTTCTGGTTCTTACATTGTTGAGAAATAATAATTCTTTCTTAATTTCTTACTTTTCTCCACCCTTTTTTATATAATTTTATCATATTCCCATTTCAACTGATTCTTTTTTAAACTGGGGACTCCTTGTCTGTATAAGGACTATAGCTCTTAGGATCTTTTTAAAGGATCTTTCTGATTATAGTTTAGATTCTTTAAGGGGTTTGGTGAACAGACTGTTAAAAGCTTTTGTACTATAAGTGCAACACACCAGTGGGTTGCAATAAAGCCCCCGATCCTTTCTTTATCAGAACTATTTGTGACCTGTCCACAAATAGAGAAGTAAAATGTGAAACAATATGCATATAAGAAGAAGCTATTTTATCTTGTTACAGTAAGTGCAATAGTTAATTGAATTAATTAAAGAAAAAATATTCAGCCCAATTGCTTTAGCAATACTATTACAGATTTGATCTCACTGTGTTTATTAATATCTTAGTGATGGTAGTGTGTTGCTGGTGCAGTGGAAAGTAGCATCATCTTTTTTCTTTTCTTTGCTTGGGAGAAAGGAAGCATACTGATATGAAAAGGGGAGTACCACTCAGATTGGAATTGGGAAGAAGAAAGTGAGTGCCTTTGCTTGATTCAAATAATATGCTTTTCTGGCTGTTCCTAAATTAAAATGGAAGGCACATTTCTTTCTGGTTATCATCCCCAGTCACCTTTTTTTTTTTTTTTTACTGCTGTTACACTCCTCTAGCTGTGGTAGTGCCCACTGTGCCTTACACTATATGCCTAGTGCTTTATAAACACAAAGGGAGAAGGCAAACTAGGTCTCAAAGAGCTCGTTATTTAAGTCAAGACAGGACAGAGAAAATGGATACAGGTAAGTAGATGGAAAATGAACCAAAAATAGATGCTGATAATGTAGCAGCAACTTAACAGTTGTTGGCGTAGGTTTGTTGGAGGGTTTGAGGGTGACATTACAGTGAAGGAGGATTTTGAGAAAGGTATCGAGTGAGGTTTGCAGAAGTTCTGCAAGGTGATTCTTTCAACTAGAAGGGACTGCACAGGAGAAGATGCAGCATTTAAGAGTTTCATGGTGGCAGATAAAATGGGGACAGATTGTGATGAAGCCTTTATCTTATTATTTTCCTAGGCTGATTTTATTAAAATTTATAACAGAATAAATGATACTCAAAATCCCACAGTTTTTTGGGGCGGAGTCTGTATGTTTGTCTACTCTGCATTTACCATATTTTTACCATTACACCACCTCACTTCTCACAATTTCTTGTGCCTTAAAATACCAACAGTTCCTAGCTAGTCTTGAGACAGTTCTGTATATCAGGCTCTTCTTTTCTGAGACTGGTATAGTATATTTTCTTTCCTCGTATAGTGATGATAACACTATTTGTGTGATAAGCTGATCATTTTTGCTTTCCCTACATAAAAAATTTCATCCTAGGTAATCATCATGGGAGCTTCCATCTGTTTTATTTTTCCTTTGGTTGTAGATCTCTTTTCCTTTAAGAAGGAGGAAACATCAGAGAGTAGGTATGAAGTGTCTTTTCCATGAGTGAAGACAATCAAATATTTAAGTCTTTTTTTCAAAAAAAATTTACTTCAAATCTAAGAGCATGAGTGGTGGCAGTGTTGTGAATTACCATGGTTCTACAAGTTTCTTAAATCTTGTATAGCTGGAGCCTCCAAGGGATAGAGAGATCCAAGGAATGGATGAGTTACAGAGTCTGCAGCACTGCAAAACCTTCAGCAATATCTGAAAACTGCAGATGTAAAAAATGTTATATTCAGCTAAAGTTTACTTGACTAAGTCCAGTGGGTGTTTTTGTTCACAGTACAAAAGTCTGGCTGGTATCGCTCTCTTCCTGTAACAGTTGTTTCAGATTTGAACTTTTCCCACAAGACCTATTTCCAGAATTAGATTCAGATTGAGAAGTACTGTACAGTTGTTACTGTCATAAAAACAATCTGCTATAGCTTGATTATGAGACCTAAACCAAAAATGAAGGAAATGAGAAAACATTAGTGTAATATCTTTAAGAAAATTAGCTGACTTTTTATAAAATTTTAGCTTCATGTTGTTGGTGTAATAAGCAAGAACTCTGGCTTTCCTTAGGAAGGATACAATTTTTACTGCAAAATAAAGGACATTCCCTGTAACAGCAGATGCTTGAGATCTGCACTGTACAGAGCATGAGGGTTTTTTGTAATCCCACTGAGTGGCTGGTATCATATTTTATCCCATTATGGATTTTCAGTTACAGATAAGTATCCTTATAATAATGCCCAGGGCAATTCTCCTAGTAACTTTTCTTTAAAAATTGTTAAGAAAGAGTTGTTACCTGTTCACCAGTATGTTGTTCACATGCAGGGGTTCTTGGAGTAAGTGCTGAGTTTGTGAGACTGACAGTGATTACAGGTTTTATGAATAGAAGCAGTACTCACAGGTCCCCTGGTGAGAAAGGGTAAGCCACTATATACTGCAGTGTCCTGGCTTTTGTGAGTATGCAGTGTCTAGATAGCTAATTGGATTGACAACTATTTAAAGAGAAGCTTCTAATTCCAGTCTGAAGAGAGGGAAGTCTTGTGAAGAAAAGCTACTTCTGCATGCCTTCCTGAAGCATTGTTCTAGTGCTGAATTGTCCTGAAGTGCTTTCCTATGGCCTGCACAGCTGTGAAATATTAAAATAAGTTCAATATGTGCCTTACAAATGAAGTTTCAGTGACCACACTGGGGATGCTGCTGTTGTCGCTTTTCAGGTTCTAGTTTCACAACCCAGATAAACTGAGAATTGCCCAGCGGTTTGCAGGTGGTGGGAGGAGCTGTACGTACTTTCAGTTTAAGGCTGAAGATGAGAAGAGGAGCCATGCATGACTTCATAAGTTGCCATCTGAGCGAAGAGTGGAAAGAAGAAAAAATTTATCCATTTCATGTTACCACTTTTGAGAAGCCTGTCCTTACAAAGGGCTTCCATTAAGTTGTTCATGCATTAGGAGATACATGTCAGATTCTACTTCAAATAATATATTACTCATTACAATTAGATATGAAGGAGGGAGGAGATTGAAGGATGCTAAGATATTAATTTTGTTTTACTTATGGACCTTGAGTGAAATTTTACTGACAGAAAATTGTCTTTAGAAATGGAGGTCAATTTTAAAAGTCACTTGCTTGTGCAAAATGTGTTAAGAAATTAAACATAAACTGTACAGTATGATGTCAACCAGTTAGCTTTGTTACACAGTGTCTTAAGGAAACAGCTCCAGACAGTTCTACACATGTGAAGTTAAAATTATTACTGATTTGTCAGTTCCAGTGAAATCTTCTATCATATTTATTCCTGTATTTAAGCAGTTGTAGCCCTCACATCACCTTTCTATCAAAGTAGTCCCCTTTAATTCAGTGATAGTCCCTAAGGATTAAAGTGCTGTTCACCATAAGTCAGGGCATTGGCAACTGTCCCTTGATTATCAGATACTGTTGAAAGACGTGAGTGTGAAATCAATTGAGGCTTCCAGAAATATAGAAATAATTGTAAATATGTTTCTTAATAACATGGTTACAAACTACAGTACTAATCTAAACAACATGAAAGCTGTGTCTGCTCACTGAGTGTTGTTTTTTTTTCCTTTTTTTTCTCAACATGCATTTCTTAAGAAAATTGGCTAAAAAACGGAAAGAGACATTGAGTAGTACGCGGCAGGAAATGACAGTGATGGTGAATTCGATGGATAAAAGCTACACTGAGCAAGGCACCAACTGTGACGAAGCTTTCTCTTTCATGGACACGCACAATCTAAATGGGAGATGTAAGTTTTCTCTTTTCTTTTTTTTTTTTTTTTCTGGAAAGTGGAAGAAAGGTGCAAATGGTTTTTAAAATATTCCTCATTACTCAGTCATGGAAAATCCATGGGACCCAGAGTTTCCCACTGTGCAGCATATTACAGTGTGTATTCGAATGAGCAAGACAGTCAGACTTCAAGAATAGACTTCTTTAAAAATAATAAGGATAATTGAGCTTTTTCCTGTCCATCCTTTTCTTCTGCAGAAGAGCAAAGACATTACTGAAACAGCTGTAGTTTTACCTTTCTCTGGTCTCTATTATGTTAAAAATTTTATATCCCTCATGCTGTCCCAAGTCCTTCAAATGCTTCCCTAGTTCACTCCATTTTTTGTAGGCAAAATTTATTTTTGAATGTCATAATTTAATAATGATGATCTGATTGTCTTAGTATTTCCGATTCAAGATGATACTCTTTCTGTTGCTTGTGCAAAGGGAGAACTCAGTGGAATTATGCATTCTGCAGTTTCATAACAGATTCTGTAAAATCCTGGGTCTTCTTGAATCTACCCTGAAAATAAATAAACTTTGGGTTATAAAATTTTCTGTATTAGAATTTTAGTTAAGGACTGCTGTCTGAGAGTTAGAATTAAGCAAAGACCAGGAAAAACAGTCGGGTTTTATAATTGTTAAAAAGAATGAAAAAAGAATGACTGTGTTCAACAAAACTTGGGTTTTGTAGTTCTTAAGGAACCTCAGTTTTTCTTGTATACCAGTGTTTCTTAACATCCTCAGAATTTGTCAAAGAATTAATTTTGTTTCAAGTACTAACAGTATGTGAGGCCCAACTCCCACCCTTTAATAATATGCTTAAGAACTTATCTTTGATGAGCTCAATTGTACAAACACTCTGTGAGGTTTATACAGGGAGACTTCCTCAGCAGCATTAGGCTCAGAATTTGCAATGTTAATTTGCATTTGAGTTGAAATTGCTTTGAAATAGATCTTTCAAAATCTAACTTGCCTTTCTGGTGAGAACACACCATTGCAGTTAATGAGATTGCTTACTCCTGTGAAGAGATCAAGAGGTTTGACTTCATCTTCCAACATCATGATGTAGTTTTGCAGTGATTTTACTGAATGGTCACAACAACCAAAGAAGCTGCAGTGGGTTCCTGGGACTAAATCCTCTTTATGTAAAACACCTTAAACCAATTTGAAATTATTGGCATAGCAAGTATTTTATATCACTTGAGGGCTAGAACCTCTAATTAGACTTTGCATAAGAAATGTGGTCACCAGAAGAAGCAGCCCAGCAGTCTTTAGGAGTAATCTTAGTGTAAGGTTGTACTTGTCTTGTACTCAAGAGAACATTGTTACTTCATATGAAAGTTTATAATTCTGGCTGCTCTCTGTATCTAACCAGTTATATTAGCTGCAGCAGCTCAACTAATCTCTGCATCGTTACCCAAAAGGAATACCACTCTGTTCTTTCCATCTAGCAATTCAGGAGACATAATCAAAGGAAAGTAGTCTCAGATATATTCATTTATAGGAGAAGTGATATCTGGCATTGTTATGTAAGCGAGTTTTCAGATAGCTCCATCTTAACAAGGGTTGGCAGCTCTATGGCCTAGAAGATCAAACAAAACAAAAAGATGGATGAAAGCCAACAGGAGTAATCTCACTCCCCATCCAGCAGATCCCGTCTTCCTCAATTCTACTTTTGTTCACAAATTCCTGTTAGTCTGTTTATATAGGTATCCAGAATGTGCTTACATTCACTGGTCTGACTGAACTTTAGCTGTGTAGACAAGCAGCTAAGGCTTAATTTGCTATGAGCTTTTCTTAAAAAACGTTAATGACTCTTTGTCTTAACATCCTGTAAAATGTTGTGATTAACTGCCTCCTGTTAAATGTATCTGTGCTTGTAACATTAATACACATAATCTTTGTATACCAGGGAACTAATGGAATTTAGTTTGTTGCATTGGGTTTTCCCATAGGTTTTACAAATGGTTAGATGATTAAATACCAATGTGAGCATTGGTCTGTGTATCACTTCTTGAAAACCTTTGTTAAACAAGGAGAAATATTCAGGGCATAATAGTATCTGTGTATACATTATCCACCTGTCTGAACAAAACAAACAAAAAAAAAAAAAAAGAGAAAAAAATTAACTGTAGTATAATATTTATAGTATTATTAAGTAAACTTAGTAATGATCAAAGCTTCTGTCAAAAACATCTGTTATCATTGTGATGTCTTTATTCAAGCATCAGTATTCAGTCTAATCTTGTGATTTAAGAAGTATATTTGTCATCACCAACCCAGACGCTTTCTGTAACGACATTTCTTTTTAGAGACTTGATCAAATTCAGTGAGCTATTTTATTCACTGGACACACCTGGTTTTCTCTATGTCCAGATTCCAGTGCAACAAATACAACAGGACGGACTCTAAACCAAGGCAATCACATACGCTGTATCACTCATCTTAAATAGCCACATATCACTTTGCTGTCTCTAACCAGCTTTGTTTCTCTTTGCAGCTGTATCTTCACCATCTTCATTTACAATGAAAACTAACACATTGAGCACAACAGTGCCTAATTCTTATTACCCAGGTAACTGATTTTTTTCTCGATTTCCACCCTATATAGACCTTTTTCATAATAAAATCATATATAATTATGTTATTATACTTCTTGCCTTAGAAATTTAATACATACACAAGCAACATACTGATTGCTTACAGTAGCTTTCTGAAAGAAAACTCGGGAACATTTATCAATCATTTACTGTTCTCTCTCTTTTTACCTTTTCTGCATTGACCTGCTTATGATGTATGACAGATCCATTTGTGCCAACTGCAATTTTAGGTGAGAACATTTCCCTTTATCAAAGTTTATTACTGAAGTAATTTAGAAAGTCACAGTTCTTGGGGTACAGACAATGCAAAAAGCTGGAGTTTTATACTAAAGGGAGAGGTTGTAGACTTGGCTACACTGAGAATGCTAAGGACAGTTATCGGTCTTGATTACTACTGTCATAGTGCAAGTCAGGGGAAAAAAGAGAAATAATTTTAACAAGTGAATTTGTGAGGAAATGTTTATGCATGTATTTGGAGTGACACAAAAGAATTTGATTATTGCAGCAATTGAAATAGTTTCCTTCATTTTTTTCCATTTTATCTGAGAACTGAAGATGTCACTTCTTAAAAATATTTTTTTCCTAATTAGACTATTCATGATACAGAAAATCGACAAAATACAGTTTTGGCCATCCACCAGCTATCATTTATTCTCACAATACTTCACAGTTTCTGACATGCTTGTCAAAGTGAAGTTTCAGAGGAGAGATGGTATTTTGAACAGCAAAATGATAACACAACACTTAAAGTATATAGTTTATTATGCATCAGGTGTCACAATAACAACATAAAACAGTAGAACTGTAGGTTAAAAACATACACTTAAAGTGTAAACCATTTCCACTGGGCATTTAGGAAAACCTGCTATTGTCCAGTGTCAAAAAACAAAGAGGTTTCTGCACAGTGATAAAACAATAAGCATGAGGCGCTATTGCATTTTCAGTGCTTAAGTAACCCTAACCACTTTATGGCTTGTGTTCGTTTACACTCCTTCCCATACTAACTTTAAACTAAACAGGGAGATTTTTTAAAAAATAATAAGTCAAAATATAACAGTGCACTGTAGCGAGAATTCGAAGTGTTAAGCCTCTTTGCTCTTTTTACAATGATTAATATTTTTGCAACAAGTATTTTTCTTTCTTCTCCTTCTTCTTCAAATCACTGTAAAAAATACAAGACCCCTTAACTGATTCCTGCCCTTACACTGTGAGTTAAACAGGCTTAAGTAAAAGTAGAGTGAAGCATTTAAGTAGATGTTTAGGAAGGTGATCTTGAAAATTTGTTATTGTGAAAGAATATTTAGCGCAGTGCATTTCAGTGTCATAACTTGGAGAAGGAACTTTTGCGTTTTTATACGTTATGTAAATCTGGAAGAAGGTAATGGTAGTGACTGTAACAATGTAATAATCTGCATGCAAATGAAATTTGCAGTGCCTTTTAACTGCCTGAGATGTTAGATTTTTTTGTGTGCTTTAGCATTCATTCAACGCTTCATCCAGTAGATGTTCTTTCTGACCTTGTGGGTGGGCAAGGAGAAAAGTACCATTATCAGGAGAAAAACTTTTAAGATTTCTCATCTGGTTTATTAAGTTTTAGTAAATGGTTTCTCCGATTTTTTTTTTTTTTGTGATTCTTTGCTATATAATATGATGATAAAATTATTTGTTAGCTTTTTTCCCCGCAAGAAATAATCTCTAAGCACGTAATTCAGACAAACACACACAGGGAATAAAAATTCTTTGGTTTTACTACATCGGTAAAATTTTGAATTAGTTAGATATGTATTTTATGGTCTACTATAGCAACCTGTGCTTACTCATTTCAGAAAATCTTACAGTTATTTCACTGTGAAAAATTAATATTTTTGTAACCTTACATGTTAAAAAATTAGTATCCTTTTATGAGTGGTGTTCCATTCAGATGAGGTCTCTCTCACAAAATCTATTTATGACTCTCTATAAGAATAATGGTTTACCTGATCAAATTAGCTATGCTTGAGTCGGTAGAGGAATATAGCTATTAACAAAATATGCTGAGTTTTAATTGCAACTAATACCTGCCCCTGCTGTCTTCCAGTTTCCAAAGAAGTGATGTTAGAAGTTGTGTTAGACCACAGGGTCAAGCCTGTAGCTAGAACTAAATGAGCTTTTCAGTGTGACCTCCTGGGAAGGGTACAGGTCTGATGAATGGTTGAGTTTAGTTTTCAAAATCTGCTAGAAAGGCCACAACACACCATTTCTAAATTTATGAATTTATGTACAACGAGATCTTTGGACTATTCATGCAAATTAGGAACTTCGGGGGGGGGGGGGGTGATAATTAGAGGTGAACTCTTTAAATGGCTCAGAAGGCAACGGTCTGGTTTCTTAGTTTCAGATATGAAGAAATTTTCTTAACATTGGAGGGAAAACTTTCATGCTTAGCCTAGTAACCTAAGTAAAAGCCTGAGATTTAATAAAGCACTTTACATAACAGTAGCTAAACTTATAGTTGCTGGGCATGAGTGTAGGTCATGTTTGTCTAGTATCAGTGATGCTCATATTTCTGAAATTAGAGAAAGAATTTCAGCCCAGAGAAGATACTGGGCTGGGTTTCTAGATATCTTCCATGCTGTGAGTTCATATAACTAGTAAATAAATATATTATTTAATGTGATGTACAGCTCTATAGGAATCAGTAAGAGGAGAGTAGAACAACTGCACCTGTAGAAGTATTTAAGATGGACAAACTTGCCATTGCATATGAACACTGTGTCTGGAGTTGCTCACCCTTTGAAAAACAGTGGACTGTTATGCCTGAAAAGCTCATGCTACAGTGCTCAAAGACAAAGCAAAAAAATACAATACACATGGCTCCTAATGTACCATATAAACGAAGGATTGAAAACAATTTATTTAAAACAACTTAAAAGATCACTCTCAAAGAGGGAAAAATAGTATTAATGCAGCTATAAGATAAATTAATGGAGACAAGAAAATTAATCTAAAACAAAAGAGCTCACAGGAAAAAGATTCATAAGGATTAAACTGCTTAAGAAGACCCTGCTATCTAATAACTTTGCCTTCATCTTGATCACTAACAGTCTGTGTTATAAGGAATTCTGTGATTTGCAAAAAAAAAACCACCCAAGTTTTCTAACTTGTTCTAAAATTGAAATAAGCCTCCCAAAAAATCATGATCAACTTCTTACACTTTGTCTTTTGTGTCTTAGCCACCTTGTAGTTTTCAGGTGCCATTTCAACAGCAACATACTGTACCTACACTTGTATACCACGCTTCATGCCATGCATCCCAAGGTGCTTTGCAGTACAATTTTATCACACATTAGAAGAAGTCAAATTTTGTGACTAAAATATTAATCCTTTTCCTCTGCGTTAGATCAGGTTAGCAAACTGACAGGAAAAGTAGTGGAATGCCCATACTCACACCCACAAATTTTTCTCTTATTTTTGGTTTAAGTTTAAATGCACAGTTCATATTGACTGTATGCTTACTGAGGACCAGATTTCCTGTGTCTTATCCATGTGAATTGAGAGAACTTAAAATCAACCTTGAAATATGATTCGTTGAGCTTTGTGGCTTTAACATCAATTTTCAGTGGTATGACTAAGACCAGAATCTCACCTTTAATGAGGTGTGGTAGTATTTTTGGTGTATATATGAGAATCTGGGACCTTTTCATCTAGAGTATTTGTGGAACTTCCTGCTGTAATATATCTAACTTAGTAACATGGAAATAATATTTTAATGCTTCCCTTTCATACAACATGTTTTACAAAGTAATATCTTTTTAATAAATATAGCATTTTTATAAACCCCTTGCTATACTAAATGAGGAGTAGTTTGAACAAGTCAAAGCACCACATTTACAATTTCAGCTAAAAACTCTTTGAGATATGTAAAATTATTATTTGGGTAAACAGAACAAAATATTTCTGATGATACTTGGAGCTTAGAATTTGGGTTGTTTTTTTTTTTTTTCTCTTGTCAAGTCCAAACACATTTTTAAAATTCCATCTAAACAAGAAGAAAGTCATATTGCTTCCTTAGGTAGAGTGCACTTTCACTTCTGTCTACTGCTAACTGTAAGTTTTGATCTCAGTTGCATCTGTGTGAATTGACTCACAGTGATACCTTGATTTCAGTACATTTAATTTATACTGTGAAACTGAGATCAAAATCTGACTCATTTAGGAAATCACTCTGTAAAAACTAAATTACAAACATAAAATTACCTGTAATTATTAATGTAGTACTGTTGCTTATGCCCTGTTTCCTTTTTCTCCTCCTCTTTTTTTTTCTCCTGATATGTATCTTCTTAAAAGTGCCAATCAATGGTAAGTTCCCCATTTGCCCCATGGAAGATATGTGGAGGGTTGGGAGAGTATGTGTCTCATAAAAATTTTAACCAGCCCCCTGGGTTCTCCTGTTTGTTGGCTTGCATGTCAGTTGACATATAACATTTCATGCCTAATGTGATGGCTCATGATATACCATGGTCCTAAAGCATGTTCAGCAGCCAGTTCAAAACATTTTTCCTGATCAGATGATCCTTTGCATTTGTCCTCTTGTAGTTTGTCTCCAGATGTTGTATCAGATCTACATTTCCATTGCAGTCCTAGCTTGATGAAACCATAAGCCATTTTGTGCATCTTTTTATTTTGCTCACTCCAAACATTTGCTCTAAATTTGCAGTGTAAAATATAGCACTTCAGTAATCTAAGAAGAATACAAGTCCAGTTTCATTCCATGGGACTTGCTGAAGTTTCAGAATGAAACTTCTATGCAGTTTAGAACCAAATGCCTGATTTAAAACCTGTTTGTAATGAGCTAGTGATATTTAAAACAATATTAGAGTTCGGACTGCTCTGCAATGCTTCCATTGTAGAACCATGGACTTTGCCTCATTCCAATCAGTCTTGCAATTTCCCTGTGTAAACCACTCCATGGATTTACTGTTCTTCTGGTGTAGCCTTCACAGACAGAAGCAATACTGATGGTGTCAGATTTCTGCCATTCCTCTAGAAATCTGTGTAATTTATATTTCTATTAATAAATGAAAATGAGCCAGTACATTATGAGATGCTCTTTTTCTAGATGAAACCCATACGATGGTCAGTGACACAAGCAGCCTGGTCCAATCACATACCTACAAGAAGCGAGATCCAGTGGATGTGCCCTACCAGACCGGACAGCTTCATCCAGCCATCCGTGTAGCTGACTTGCTACAGCACATCACCCAAATGAAGTGTGCAGAAGGCTATGGATTCAAAGAGGAGTATGAAGTAAGTGTCAGGTCTAATGATCTGATTATTATGGTTTTTGCACTGTTGACTTTGTCTGTCTGCTAGCTGTACCACAGAAGAGGAAAAATAAACTACTCAACCAAGAAAGCCAGCTGCTGTGTGAGGGAAAATATTGAATGGAAAGGATCATCTCTACAGTGAGTGAACTTTCTGATTGTAACCTGCTAGGATGAGGACTGAGACATAAAAACCTTTCTCAGAAATCTTTGCCTAATTCTAATTGCATAAAAGTGTATATTCAAAAAACAGGTTCACTAGTGTTCTCCCAGAACTTGCCATATTTTTCTTTTCTTATTGAAGAATATAGCTCTTTTCCAAAGTTCTACATTACAGATTGTCTAATCACAGTTACCCTGTAACACGATATTAGCTTAAAAATAAGTTCTACAAGCTGTATTTCTTGAAATAATAGTATTCATCATGGAAAGGCAGTGTGCAAATCTTCAGAGAGGCCCGTAGGGCTATAAAATTTATTCTGTGGTGCCTGAACTGTTTCCCACTAGCTGGAGGCTATCTCTAATCCTCATTATTTTCCATATGAACTTATAGTCTCTCTTTTTTCATTTTTTTTTAAATTCAACTTCTATTCATTTCATGCTGGAGTGACCTGTACCTCCCTGTTATCATCTTAATTTTAAATGTCATGACCATGACATAGAATCATAGAATGGTTTGAGTTGGAAGAAACCTTAAAGATCATCTAGTTCCACCCCCCTGCCATGGGCAGGGACACCTTCCACCAGACCAGGCTGCTCAAAGCCCCGTCCAACCTGGCCTTGAACACTGCCAGGGAGGGGACAACCACAGCTTCTCTGGGCAACCTGTGCCAGTGCCTCACCACCCTCACAGGAAAGAATTTCTTCCTTATATCTAATCTGAATCTACCCTCTTTCAGTTTAAAGCCATTGCCCCTCATCCTGTGATTACATGCCCTTGTAAAAAGTCCCTGCTCATCTTTCCTGTAGGCCCCCTTTAGGTGCTGGAAGGCCATTATAAGGTCCCCCAGAGCCTTCTGTCCTCTAAGGGGGATGTTCCAGCCCCCTAATCATCTTTGTGGTCCTCCTCTGGACACACTCCGACAGGTCCATGTCCCTCTATGTTGGGAGCCCCAGAGCTGGACACAGCACTTCAGGTGGAGTCCCACGAGAGTGAAGTAGAGGGGGAGCATCCCCTCCATTGTCCTGTTGGTCATGATGCTTCTGATGCAGCCCAGGATACAGTTGGCTTTCTGCGCTGCAAGCACATATTGCTGGGTCATTTTGAACTTATCAAACAATACCCCCAAGTCCTTCTCTGCAGGGCTGCTCTCTATCCATTCTCCTCCAAGCCTGTATTTGTGCTTGGGATTGCCCTGACCCATGTGCAGGACCTTTCACTTGGCCTTGTTGAACTTTATGAGGTTTGCACAGGCCCACCTCTCAAGCCTGTCCAGGTCCCTCTGGATGTCATCCCTTCCCTCCAGTGTGTTGACCAAACCACACAGCTTGGTGTCATTCACATTCACTCCCTGAGGGTGCACTCAATCCCACTGTCCATGCCACAGGCAAATACTATAGGAACACAGCACATTGCACTGCAGATCCTGTCTTCTTTGTGAGATGAGTCAGATTGCTAAGTGGAAAAGGCAAAAAGCAAGCAGAACTTGTTCTCATGCCCAAGATTAAGGATACTACTATGCCTAACTTTAAGAGCTTAGTTTTGCTGAAGAGTCTCAAGAACGCACCACTCCTCATCCAAATCATATATTTGACTGAACAGAGACTTACCGACCTGGTTCCTTGTCTAATTGGAGGGAGGATTTGAGACCTTTTAAAATCTGCTTAGGTGCATTATTCTAATTGTTAGGGTGTGAAAATGAATGTCCTTTGTTCGCTTTTTTCTGCCTTTTAGCTCAGATTTTGAGGAGTCTATTCTTGTGAATGATTTTCACATAAAGGAGTGCTCTAATACAGGTTGATGTCTACAGCAAGTAGTTTCCCACAAGTTTACAATCCAGTGGATTTGAACAACACAAAAAAGAAAAAGTAGCATAAATATATTTACTTCTCATAGGAAAAATACATAAGATTGATCCACAGGGTTGAACTATATAAAGTGTCAAAATTGTCATAGGAGTGAATGAGAATTAGTGAGATAATTTTGACTGATCAGGTATGAAAATGCACTGCATAAGAACTTGTGGGGTCTGTTCTGTAGGCAGACCTGAAGCTGTCACCTCTGAAATACTCTATTAACTTTTTATACATTATATGGACTATTCCAAGATGATGTGACTAGATTTAAAAAAAAAAATGTTCTCTCCCATGTGGTCTGGGAAGCAAATCATGATCACTAGCAGCCCATCCCCCCATTTCCAGGAGCAGGCTACACTTGACAGAGTCTGTATCTGCCTCTGTTTGTGGTAGTGTCCATTTGTCCAGTTGAGGAACTAACTTGCACTGCATGTCCAACCCAGTACACAGTCCTAAATTTCCTTTCCTTGAAAACTAGAATGTGAGAAATCAGAGGAACAGGTAGATGTAAATGGGTCTTACTGTGATGTGACTGACATAGTGAAATGCTGGGGTTTCAACCCCAAGCCCCAAATTAAGGCTGACATATGGGAGATTCCCACAGCCCTTCACAAAGCGTGGGTGAGTTTACCTTTAAGCTTCCCTCCAGGGTGCGGTGGCCTTGCAGGGAGAGCCATTGGGTAAATGAGCCCCAGGTGTCCTGCACTGAGTAAACAAAGGTCAGGTGTCCCACTTAGGGATAAAAGCTGGGACCACTTGCAGGCAGGGGCAGTGTCTGTCTGTGAGGTGGATGCCCTGTGCAGAGTTTCCTGTTGGGGAAGGACCTCCTGCCTCCCTGGGACTGGGCTCCAGTCAGGTCTGGCTTTTGTAAATGTGGTCTGTGTGGAGATTCAGTATGTGGCTTCCTTGGTCTTATGTATTTGGCTGGTTGACCTGGTTGTCTCCCATCCCTTCAGTGGGAGCCTGTATTTCACTGTTGGTTCCACCCATTGTTGGTTGTGTGGTGGTGGTGTTGGGGTCATTGGGATTGATGTCGATTATGTATGACCTGATTGACTTGTTTATGGCCCTAGTGCTCATAGTTCATCTTTATGCTGGCCGTGTCCTATATGCTAGGCCTGATAACTGGCAAAACGCATAGCCAATGAGAAGCAGAACGATACAGACTCAGTTTTAACTCTGACTTCTCAAAGTAGAAGCCAGCAATAAAAAGATCGCTTCTGATTCTTTCATCTGATAGAGAGAGAAGGGAGGAGGACAACCTGCTAAAGTAATTTAAATTATTTCCACCCTGTAGGGCAAGCAACAATTTCTCTTTTGGGCATGCACAAGTGTGTGTTGCCCTAGAGGTTTAATGTACCATGCTTAAGTTTTAAAGGTAGGATGTACTCATTAGTTCCTACAGGTCCTTCAGGATGAATAATATGATTACTAGGACATTACTGAGTTTTTACAAGTGTGCATACTGCTTGCATTTTACAAGAGATAGTGGGTTTTTGAAGTTTGTGCTTTGTCATGCTGACTCCATGTTATAACAGTTGCTTAAATATCTAGTTGTTTAAACTGGTATTTGTGGTATTAGACTTCCAAAGCCCATGCTTCAGGCCACTTCCAATCCACTGATGATGTTTTTCCCCTAAAATATAGAAAACAATTCATTCCCAGAAGGAGCTAATCACTTGTCAACTTCCATTTGTGTAGCTGACTTAAACAAGTTTGTTCCTGTGAGGTTTTTATGCCACTGTTATTTAAAAATGATAGAATTGAAAATTCTTGTTTTTGCAAAAGATTTGCTCATCAGCCAAAACCTTTTATACCAGCATTAAGCCTAGAGGAAAGCTACAATTAATTTACAAAGAAAAAAAGACCATAAAATGGAATTCATAATGCAACCAGTGACATGGCTTTTTAACTACAGCGGATCAAATGATGCTGCTGAAAAACATTTTCCAGGAAAATCACTTAATTTTGAGCTTACCAAACTGATGAATGGCATCCCATTATGGACAGTAGGTGTAGTCATGACTAATGCCAGTAGATGCAATATGTTAGGGTGAGTTTATTTATAGTGGCAGGGAAGGGGGACTTAAAATAGTGCAGCTGCATCTGAAAAAGTCCTCTTTGTATATGGGAATTGTTTATAATTGGAATGAACCATAACTAGCCATATCTTTGAGGGTTTTTTCCATTGAATTAGTGCAATATTGTTCTTTCTCCTCTAGGCAATTAAAAACTGCCCAGTAATTTCTAGCACTGCTAAGACTGAATCTCTTTGTTTACACTGCTGTCAGACTGATACTCTCCTCTTTACAAGGTTGAACTAGACAACGAAAGAATTTTTTCCTTATAAATTATCAGAAGGATAACTGTCCAAATGAAAAGGAAGAGATAGTTTGGCAGGGGATTTGTTTTGAATGAAGTCTCATAGATGATTTTTGCTCTAACAAGACAGCAGGATTATATAGTCTCACCAGGGAAGGAGTTTGATTCAGGAGAAATTCACACAGGATTCACTCTGAAAATAAATCTGTTGAACCGAACAGAAAGTAAAGTAGCACATTACCCATTAACAGCACTTCAGAGAAGTGCAGGGATACAGAGCACTTACTGTTGTGCATAGTTTTAAGTGCTTTAAAATAAAACTTAATAATTAGGGCCACTATTCTCAATAATTAGGGCTGTAGTTCACAATCTAAGCACATCTGTGTAGTTTTAAGTCCTGTTGGCTTCATGCTTGAGATTTTAGAGTAATATAACTGACACAAAAGGTATAGGTTGAAAAATCATTGTTAAGCAGTGGCAGGCTGGTAATTAGTTACTCATTGCTCAACTCTGCATTATATTGTGTATCTTTAGCTCCCAATATACAAGGTCTTGGGGGAACACCGTACTTTGCAGGATTGTGCCCTTTCGTTTGTCTGGATGGAGCTGAGATACTTTGGTTCTCATCAGTGACAAAGCTTTGGC